AGAACTAATTCTGTCCTTCCCACTCTCTGTGGCTGGAGCAGTTAAAGGTGTAGAATCTGGAGTTTGAATCCAAGCTCTACCTTTTGCTATCCTGACCTCTTTGTACCTCGATTTCCTTATCTGTAAAATGGGTCTAAGGATAGTACTTATCTCAGAAGGTTGTATGGGCAGGAAGGAAGTTAAACCATGTGACGCACTTAGAATGTTGCTGGCAGGGCAGGCCGATTAGCTCAGTTGGTTTGAGTGTGGTGTTATATCACCAAGGTCAAGGGTTCAGATCCCCACACCAGCCACCCAACAAAAAGAAAAAAAAAAAGAATGTTGCCTGGCACATGGAGCACACTCAATAAATATTACTCTCTCTATATATCATACACAACCTCTAAACAACGTTGTGTTTAATCTTGGATCCTCTTCTCTCTGCATGACCTCATACAGTGATAACCTACAACAATATTCCAAATACCACAGGTCATCCCACTTCTTCAACTGGATGTGGTGGGAACTACATTAGACACAACTATCTGTGTGGCCTCATCCATTCCCACAGCTTCAAGTTCCGTCTTGTTAAGTTATATCCTCAGCCCAGAAGGAGCTCCTTGGAGCTCCAGTATTGCATAGCTAATATCTCCTGATATTTCCACTCTGGTTCCTGTGCATCCACCCCACAGTGTTCCCTGATCCAGTAAAAAGTGGGTCCCCATCCCCTACCTCCCTTTCAACCCCCCACCCAACCCATCACCTGATCCACATTTCTCTCGGTCTCCATTGCCACCCTGATTGGGGCACTGTCACCTCTCCCCTGGACCTCCTGGTCTCCTGGCATCCACTCTTGCCCCTACAGCTTATTCCCATCTCACTGCCGACGATCATCCCTACCTACAACTCCACTCCAGCCCCACTGACCTCATTGCTGTTTCTCTAACCAGCTGAGCATGCTTCCACCTCAGGACCTTTGCAAATGCTGTTCCCTCTATATGGAGCACTCTTCAACCATATATTTACACGCTTTCTCCCTCTCCTCCTTGAGGTCTTCACTTAAATGGCAACTTCTTAGTAAGGTGTCTTTTGACCATCCTATTTTAAATTGTACCCCTCACTTGCTTCATTCCTTAATGCTATGTTCCCAGTGGTTAGTCCACACACCCACCACACAGTAGGCACCTGACACATGAGTTGATGTCTGTGTTTCCAAATTCCATCATCCAGGAAGCCTCAAGAAATGTTGCTTTGAAGAACTGAAAAGTAAAAATCTGAACTCCATAGCCCTCTAGTATCATCTCCTGTACACTCTCTTGAGACTTACACTGTGGTCTCTCATTCATTCATTTATTCATTCACTCAGTGAATATGTGAAAACGTCTCTACTGATTTTCAAGCATTTCCTAGACACTGGGGATACAAGACAGATCCACGGTAGACAGAATAATGCCCCTCCCCAAAGACGTCCATGCCCTAATCCACAGAACCTTTGAATATATTACTTTACATGGCAAAAGCGACTTTGCAGATGTGATTAAGTGTCCAGACCTTGACATGGCAAGATTATCCTGGATTATTCAAGTGGGCCCAATATAATCACATAAGTCGTTAAGATCAGAAAACCTTTCACAGTTGTAGTGAGAGAGAAAGATGTGAAAACAG